TCTCTGTCAGCTACAGGGAGACAGCAGACACATCTCTGTCAGCTACAGGGAGACAGAAGACACATCTCTGTCAGCTACAGGGAGACAGAAGACACATCTCTGTCAGCTACAGGGAGACAGCAGACACATATCTGTCAGCTACAGGGAGACAGCAGACACATCTCTGTCAGCTACAGGGAGACAGCAGGCTTATCTCTGTCAGCTATAGGGAGACAGCAGACACATCTCTGTTAGCTACAGGGAGACAGCAGGCACATCTCTGTTGGCTGCAGGGAGAGAAGACACATCTCTGTTGGCTGCAGGGAAACAGAAGACACATCTCTGTCAGCTACAGGGAGACAGCAGACACATCTCTGTTGGCTACAGGGAGAGAAGACACATCTCTGTCAGCTAAAGGGAGACCGAAGACACATCTCTGTCAGCTACAGAGAGACAGCAGACACATATCTGTCGGCTACAGGGAGAGAAGACACATCTCAGTCAGCTACAGGGAGACAGCAGACACATCTCTGTCAACTACAGGGAGACAGCAGACACATCTCTGTCGGCTACAGGGAGAGAAGACACATCTCTGTCAGCTACAGGGAGACAGCAGACACATATCTGTCAGCTACAGAGAGACAGCAGACACATCTCTGTCAGCTACAGGGAGAGAAGACACATTTCTGTCAGCTACAGGGAGATAAGACACATCTCTGTCAGCTACAGGGAGACAGCAGACACATCTCTGTCAGATGCCCAAGTTTGTAGGGAAAAGGAAGATGATCTGAGTCCAACCATAAATATAATCAAGGGAGCTTGGGGCTGTGCTAGCACAAGCATGACATTAAATAATCCAAAGGCAACTTTGGGAACAACAAAGCATAACTCCTTAAGCCCTGGCACAAAGCCAAAGTATAATTGGATGAACAACCAGGACCTTCCCCTGGGGCTTACAGCTGGTGGGAAAAAAAGAAAAGAAATAAAAACGTGAAGAAATGTGAGTATCAAATCAACCATACCAACTTATTTATGAGTGCCAAATTAACTGTATCAACTCATTTGTGGCTATGACATAAACCGTATTGACACATGTTTGAGAACTAAAAAAAAAAAAACCATATCAACTTGTGTTTGAGAATCAAATAAACCACAAAAACTCGATTTTGAGAATCAAATAAACCACAAAAACTCGATTTTGAGAATCAAGTAAACCACACCAACTCGTGTTTGAGTATTAAATGAACCATGATAACTCGTGTTGGCGAATGAAAAACCACATCAACTCATATCGGAAAATCAAATAAACCAGATTAACTCATGTTTGAGTACCAAATAAACCATAACTCATGCCTGAGTATCAAAAAAGCTGGATAAACTCATGTGTGTATATCAAATAAACCAGATTAACTCATGTTTGAGTACCAAATAAACCATAACTCATGCCTGAGTATCAAAAATGCTGGATAAACTCATGTGTGGATATCAAATAAAACTATATTAACTCATTTTTGAAATGTGTGAAAGTATACATACAAGTAATATCAACTCATGTGTGAAAATATACATACAAGTAATATCAAACAAAATGTGAATATCTCTCTTATAAATTGAAGTTGGGCAAATATAAACATCACATCAACTCACGTGAAAATATACATTCAAATAATATCAAGGCATGTGTGAATCTAGACCCATTCAGGTTCGGAGAAAATGTATCACCCACAGACTGGTATAGACAGCAAGTAGTTCTAGCATGTCCTAGCAGGCTAACATGTGAACATATGCAGCAGGCTGTGTTTTCTGAAATCAAAACTAGCCAGGTCTCCACAGAGTGGACTATTAAGCTCAGATAACAGTCAACTGACTGATGAAGCATGGTCAGTCACTTGATGATAGTGCCATGTTATCACAACTGATGTCACTGTGCGTGTTCAGTCCTCCGATGCAACAGCCATCCCAGGGCACCTGTGCCATAAGGTTACAGTGTCATGACTGGGAAACTAATGGACAGCCAGTGTTCTCAGATAAGGGATGTGTCAGCACATCAGTCATTCCCTGGCAGTCACACATCTCAGCCAGCTATCCCAGGTTGTCTTCTGTTCTGTGACTTCTGTTCTGTAACCTCTGTTCTGTAATCTCTGTTTTGTGACTTCTGTTCTGTGACTTCTGTTCTGTAACCTCTGTTGTGTGGCTTCTGTTCTTTGGCTTCTGTTCTGAGTCTTTTGTTCTGTTCTACGACATCTGTTCTGTAACCTGTTCTGTGGCTTCTGTTCTGTTCTTTGGCTTCTGTTCTGTGTCTTATGTTCTGTTCTACGACTTCTGTTCTGTCTGTGATTTCTGTTCGTGGTTTCTGTTTTGTGACTTCAGTTCTGTGACAGGTTGTATTCTGTTGTGACTAGAGCTGTGTTCTATGACTTGTGTTCTGTAACTAGATGTATTCTACTCTGTGACTTATGTTCTGTCCTAAAAATGGTTCTATTCTGTTCTGTGACTTGTGTTGTCTTATGGCTGATGCTGTGCCCTCTTCATTGCCTGCATCAAAGACCATGAAGAAAATCGACGTCTGCCATCATGTCCACCCGATGTCCTGTGCTGAAGAGTTCTGGGTCCAGCTCCGCCATGTACTAGAGATTTAGCACTGTTTTCACCTGCAAGTGAAATCAGTATTCAGATACAGAACTGACATTTTCTTGATGTTGTCATTCCGGATCTTCTTTGCCCTCCTCTCCCCCCCCCCCCCCCCCCCCCCCCCCCCCCCCCCTTTTTAAGCACTGTCTTGTCTTTGCAATCAAATTATGTCTTACCACATGCCCATGCGTAGTCACACCATATATACATGTCAGTAGTAACTCTACATAAAACACACGCACATCAGAAGTACCTCTAAATACACAAAGAACACACACACACATCAGTAGTGGCTCCACAAAAAACACACACACACACATCAGTAGTGGCTCCACAAAAAAACACACACACACACATCAGTAGTGGCTCCACAAAAAACACACACAACGTCAGCAGTGGCTCCACAAAAAACACACACACAACGTCAGCAGTGGCTCCACAAAAAACACACACACAACGTAAGTAGTGGCTCCACAAAAAACACACACACAATGTAAGTAGTGGCTCCACAAAAAACACACACACAACGTAAGTAGTGGCTCCACAAAAAACACACACACAACGTAAGTAGTGGCTCCACAAAAAACACACACACAACGTAAGTAGTGGCTCCACAAAAAACACACACACAACGTAAGTAGTGGCTCCACAAAAAACACACACACAACGTAAGTAGTGGCTCCACAAAAAACACACACACACAACGTAAGTAGTGGCTCCACAAAAAACACACACACAACGTAAGTAGTGGCTCCACAAAAAACACACACACAACGTAAGTAGTGGCTCCACAAAAAACACACACACAACGTAAGTAGTGGCTCCACAAAAAACACACAAAAACGTAAGTAGTGGCTCCACAAAAAACACACACACAACGTAAGTAGTGGCTCCACAAAAAACACACACAACGTAAGTAGTGGCTCCACAAAAAACACACACACAACGTAAGTAGTGGCTCCACAAAAAACACACACACAACGTATTAGTGGCTCCACAAAAAACACACACACAACGTAAGTAGTGGCTCCACAAAAAACACACATCAGCAGTGATTTCAAACAACATACAAATGTCAGTAGTGAAATCACACTACACATACTGCCACAAGTACCTTCATACAACATGTGTCACTAGTGATTTCATACAACCAAAAACTGACTATATAAAACCATCTGACCACACAACCAAGCAATGACCACACAACCAAGCAATGACCACACAACCAGGGACTGACCACACAACCAAGGATTGACCAAACAAACAAGGACTGACCACTTAACTAAAGACTGACCACTCAACCAAGGTTTGATCACACAACCAAGGTTTGATCACACAACCAAGGTTTGATCACACAACCAAGGATTGATCACACAACCAAGGATTGACCACTCAAATAAAGACTGACCACACAGCCAATATTTGACCACACAATTAAGGATTGACCACACAATTAAGGATTGACCCCACAACCAAGGATTGACCACTCAACCAGGGACTGACCACTTAACTAAGAACTGACCACTCAACTAAGGACTGACCACACAACCAAGGATTGATCACACAGCCAATGACTGACAACTCAAAAAAGGACTGACCACACAACCAATTGATGACATAACCAAGGACTGACCACTCAACTAGGGACCGATCACACATTCAAGGACTTCTTCTTTTTTACGTTCACTGGGTGTGAACTCCGGCTGAAAGTTCTGGTTGTTCATCCACCTCTGGACTTGAATCTGTTCCAAAATGTGAGTGTTGCGTGCTCATCCAGCTTATTTATATGCAGATTGTTGGTTCCTTGCCCCTCAGGCAGATGCAATCCAAATTCAAAGGAAGCCCTGAATTAGTCGACTCTTACTGCATGCCTGTTGGGGAGGCCGTGAGTCTATTCTTGTGTTGCCCCAGAACCAACGTGGGGGCACCAGGGACTGACCACTCACTACTTACATGTTGTACATATAACCACTTTCATGTTGTGCATATAACCACTTACATGTCGTACATATAACCACTTACATGTCGTACATATAACCACTTACATGTCGTACATATAGCCACTTACATGTCGTACATATAACCACTTACATGTTGTACATATAACCACTTACATGTCGTACATATAACCACTTACATGTTGTACATATAACCACTTACATGTTGTACATATAACCACTTACATGTTGTGCATATAACCACTTACATGTCGTACATATAACCACTTACATGTCGTACATATAACCACTTACATGTCGTACATATAGCCACTTACATGTCGTACATATAACCACTTACATGTCGTACATATAACCACTTACATGTTGTACATATAACCACTTACATGTTGTACATATAACCACTTACATGTCGTACATATAACCACTTACATGTTGTACATATAGCCAGGTGACCAAGTACAGAGCAAATATCATCATCAGCAGGACATACTGGGTGTAGTTGAGAAATTCCTGTTTTAAGAAATAAAGAATGATAAATATAGCACACTCATAGTTACAACAACAGGTGATAAATACAATACAACCATAGTTACAACTAGTGATAAATACAACATGCTCATAGTTAAAACTAGTGATAAATACAACACACTCATAGTTACAACCAGTGATAAACACAAGACATTTCTCGTTAATACTAGTTATAAATACAACACACTCATCATTACAACTAGTGATAAATACAATACAAGCATAGCTAAAACTACTGATAAATGCAATACAATCATAGCTGAAACTAGTGATAAATACAACACACTCATAGATAAAAACCCGTGATAAATACAACACACTCACAGTTACAACCAATGATAAACACAACACACTCTTTGTTACAACTAGTGAAAAATACAACACTACCATCGTCAGAAATAGTGATAAATACAACACACTCATCGTTAGAACCAGTGATAAATACAAAACAATCATAGCTAAAACTAGTGATAGATACAACACACTCATCGTTACAACTAGTAAAAAATACAATACAATAATAGCTCAAACTAGTGATAAATACAACACACTCACAGATAAAACTAGTGATAAATACAACACACCCATAGTTACAACCAATGATAAACACAACACACTCTTTCTTACAACTAGTGATAAATACAACACACTCATCGTTACAACTAGTGATAAATACAACACGTCCTCGTCGTGAGAGGTGGTAACAGGACAAAGTAGGGGATTGCTAGGTGTGGGCGAAGTATGGTGTGGCCTCGTGCCACCGGACCGCTACGGTAGCCATGAAGGCCACCCTGGGTCACCCCGAAACGTCCTGGCCAACGGGGCTCTGGTGAAGTTGCGACAGGCCTAGCAAGCCGGCAATGGATTTTTTACCGCTACAGAAATCAAAATGAGATATAAACGGACTGATCAAACGGTATCTGACCATGGCAATGTTAAGGGACTACGAGACAAGACAGCGAAATACAAGATTGCAACACTTAACACCGCTGGCCTGGGAAATAAAACAGAAGAGATTATTGAAATGATGGAAAAAAGGAAAATCAAGTTAATGGGGCTAGCTGACATAAGACGCAAGGGAAATATTAATAAGAAAATACACAGAGGCTACTTACTAACATATGCAGGAGGAGAAACATCGAAGAATGGAGTGGGTTTCCTGGCACATCCGGACATATCTAACTACATATTAGACATACATTATCACTCAGATAGAATTATTACTTTGAAAATTAAAAGAGGAGAACAAGCTGAAACATATATACAGATATATGCACCATGCAATGATAATTATACTTCCACATGTAGTTGGCAATATTGAGGAAGAATGGAGTATATATAAAAACACTATGCTTAGTATTGCACAAGAATTATGTGGAAAACGGAAGAATGGAAACAGACGGGGAAATAACAAATATTCACCTTGGTGGTGCGAAGAAGTAAAAGAAGCAATTAAAAAGAAAAAAGACACATAAACAGTGGATAAAATCAAAGAAAGAAGAAGATTATATAAACTACTAGCTGTACCCGGCCACGCGTTGCTGTGGCACAGTTTGGCTAAATGGAAATGAAAGAAAATAGAAATCGCAAGTGTCTAATACAATCATTGTCTGCTCAGATATAGAGATAGTCTTTGATTTCCCCCCCCCCTCCTCCCCACCACCACAACTAAATCCACCTACTACCCTCTCCCTCATCAAAGGTTTTTGGAAAAGAAAGACAATGGAAATCGCACCTGTCTAATATAGTTTATGTCGCAATCATTCTCTGCACATTTATATAGAGATAGTCTGGTTTTCCAACTTTAGAACACGCACCATATAATTGTGTCTTTATATTAGTGGTCGTTTAAATGGTGCTATTAGCACAGTAACAAAAGTGGTTATTTGGTTATCACATGCTAAAGCTGTTTGTATTTTTATAGGAGACGTATGTAAAGCTACTACTGTACTTGTAAATAACAAAGTAAGTCGTACAAAAATTAGAATAGTGAAGGTAGCGTTAGTAAAATATAAACAATTTAAGTAAGTAATGAGAACTTAAAAATCATGTGTAAAGCTCTTCAAGTTCTCTTAAATTTCAGTCATTACTCTCTCCCCTCCCCTCTTCCACCGACTACTGCTCTCTCCCTCTTCGAAGGATTGAAAAATCATCACCTGGCGATATTCTTTTTGTTGTAACTGACATTGACATCCCTGTTCATCCGGACTAAATTGGGAGCAGGAATTGTAATAGGTAGTGAATGGGGCTAATGTAATATTTACCACATCATCCTTCAAGTACCAGTACAACTACTACCACGACCACCACCACAGTAGCTAAAATAATGTCACTGCTATCTGTTTTACCATCGGAGTAGACAGGGAGTCGTGAGCCAGAAGATTTGGCGCCGCATGGCTAGTGCTGTCGCCACAGACTGGTCAGGTTAGGATGTATGATTTCGCTCCCCGACAGAAGAATGCCATAACCTTACCGGCGGTCTTCACATGAGAGCACTACGGTGTAACCGCCCAACCACAACAACTACTGCTTTGAGTGGGTAAAGCAGTTACTGTGACTTAAAGCTCTCTCAGTAATCAGTTTGCCCCCCCCCCCCCCCCCCCCCCCCCCCAACTCACCGACTACTCTTTCCCTCATCGAAGTAGTTGAGAGGGGAAAACCAATTAAAAAGCAATTAAAACAGGAAAAATGCACCAGAATTAGGAAATTAACGCTATGGTAAACAGCACAGCTTAAAATTCCAACGCAGATGAAATAATTAAATCTAAATGAAAATAAATGGAAAGCTATGAAATTTCGGCGTAACCATGCAATCGAAAAGTTTAAAATGAAATCATAAGTATGTGAAATGGTCAAATTTAATTATCAACTGGTTTACCCAGAAACCTGTCCTTGTTTTTTTTTTTTTTTTTTTTTTAAATATATATCATTAAGGGCCATATGGCTAGTGCTGTCGCCACGACAGTGCAGGTGAGGATTTTATTTTAGCCCTAAGTAAAAAAAAAAAAACTACTGCGGATTCGAACCCTGGTCTCCCTCTCAAGAGCCGAGTGTTCTAACCATTCGACCAAGGAACCACTCAATCGGAATAACGAAAAGAGAACATAACTATTTTAGATGTGTGTCCCTACTGCAGTGTCCCGATTATAACACAACTCAAAACAGCAGGCAATTGTTTTCTCATAGACAGTTATTCCAAATATATTAAAGAAATCGCACGTGTCTAACACGGTTAATGTCGCAGTCAATGTCTGCGCAGACGTCGAGATAGTCCCTGATGCCCCCCCCCCCCCCTCTTTTTCCCTACCAATCCATCGGCTACTTTTCAACTCATCGAAGGATGTTTAAAAAAAAACAGAAAATAGAAATCGTGTCTAATATAGTTATTGTGGCAATCACTGCCTGCACAGATATAGATATAGTCTTGTTTGCTGTACCATGACCTACTCTATGTATTAGAGAAGGTGTTAGCTGCACGGCACATGCGCAATTTCTAACGTGGCTATACTTAGAAATCACTAAAATTATAAATATTAGTTTTGAATATTATGGCTTAAATTGTGGTCACCTATCTTTAACAGTGACAGGTTGAATTTCAAACCATGATGGTTCAACGTCGGGTATCAAAACAAACATATCCTGAAAAATTCAGCTAAATCGGTTCAGTAGTTTCCGAGTCTATAGGGGGCAAACACACAAACATTGATTTTTATATATATAGATAGACTGCAAAGGAGAGAAACCAACAGGAGTGTCAAGAAAGCAAAATAAGCATCCTGGGAACGTTTCGGTTAGTCACTAGCAGAAAATAAGAAAACAGCCAGCAGAAAATTTTTCAAAGTGGTTAAAAATATGCGGAAAAGAGATGAGAGCTACAACCCCACTGAAATAGTTAATGATAAGACAGGAAGGCCATTGATAGATCCACCCGAGATAGCAGAAAGATGGAGGGAATACTTCAATGAGCTCTTTAATCCTCTAGGAAACGGCCCCTAATGATTGGCAACATGCAATAGTTATACCATTGTGGAAGAACAAAGGAAGCAAACGAGAATGCGGTCAATATCGAGGCATCTCTCTTTTCAGCCATGTTGGCAAAATGTATGCCAAGATAATAGAAACAAGACTGAGACCAGTAATAGAACCATAGCTGGCAGAAGAACAGATGGGTTTTAGAAGAAATAGAAGCTGCACAGATGCAATCTTCACACTTAATAGAAAAGAACATTGAATACAATAAGAACTTATTTGTGGCATTCGTAGACCAGGAGAAGGCATTTGACAGAGCCGACAGACAATTACTATGGAAAATAATGGCAAGATATGGAGTAAGCGAACACCTCATCGAAGTGTGCAAAAGTTTATACAGGGATTGTAGAAGTGTAGTTAGAATAAATCAGCGAACATCTCATCTTTTCACAGTGACATCTGGAGTTAGACAGGGGTGTGTCTTATCACCACTGCTGTTTATCACCTACATCGACAGTATATGCAAGAATGCCAAGCCCATGAATGAAGATCTTAGTAAGATCAACGAATTACTCTTTGCAGATGACCAGGCCTTGATAGCAGATACAGCCATGAAATTGCAACAACATCTAACATCCATGAATGAAGAATGTAAAACAAATAATATGAGAATCAACACTGAAAAGACAGCAGTAATGTCAATAGGACAGATCTAAACATAGCAATAGAATACAAAGACATTAAACAGGCATCTGAGTTTAAATATCTGGGAACTACATTTACCGAAGATGGGAAATTGGATAAAGAAATTGACATTAGATGCAGTAAAGCAAACCAAGTATTGGGACAGCTAGCCCCTCTCTTACAGCATAAGACAATCCCAATCAGCACAAAGAGACATCTTATTCAAAGCATATTTATTCCAAATCTGTGCTACCAGTGCCAGACATGGTCACTCACAACAAACCATAAAAGAAAATTAGTAACCACGGAAATGAGATGTCTGAGAAGGG